TGTCAATCCACAGTCAGCGGTTGTTTCATACAGAAGTTTGATGAGTGTTGAGTGTTGAGGGCCAACATTCTCATAAAAGCGTGACCTGTACAAGGAGGTGCATATTTTTCTTTCAGCCCCATATGAAATCAGTGAAATCCAGTGGGCGTCATGGAAATGATGTACAAGTTGAGAGTGACTGAATTCTCTGAGGCCTGGTCTACGCTCAAGGGGAAGGTTGAACTAAGATACACAACTCCAATTACAGTAGTTACAAAGCTAGAGTTGGCGTATCTTAAATCACTGTCCACTCAGCCACAGGTGGCTGAAAGTAAAGGCTCCTGTCAGCCTCCTGTAGAAGAAAACATTGTCCTCACTCTGCGTTTGTAAGCAACAAGTAGCCAGAGGCAATTTTATTAAGAGCTGCAGCAAGGGAAAAACTGGTTCGGAGCGGGGGGGTGGGGGGAAGCACCCCTCCCCCGAGGCATATCTTCGAATACAAGCAATTATGAAGCAGTTTATATACTGTCCATTACATATAATAACAATAACAATTAGTCTCCTTCCCATTACAAACACCAATGGCTAACAGTTATTTTAGTTCCACCCAGATGCTCCTTATCTCAAGTATGGAGGCGAGAGACAAAGGCAGCATCTAATTACAGTTCTTGCATTGTCAGGCCACAGACTTCACCTGACTCTTGCTCTCTTGTTAACAAGACCAAGATGGCTGCACACAAATTCCCTTATTTCCTTTTCCTGCCTCCACACTTACACCTTGTAAGGTGCAGGATTACCGTGCCCATAGGGCACCCTCTCAGATTGAGTTAGCATGACTTCACTTCACCCACTTAATTGAACCCCAAAAGATTGACACGGTGTCATTCATCTTCTGCCTAGTGTAGATATGGCCTAAGTGTATCTGGGGCAGAAAGAAGGAGGCTGAAGGACGGCTTGGTGCAAGGCCTGAGGCCTGAACTAAAGTCAGCACAAGTTATGCGACAAGCAACTGCTACGGCCTGTCAAAAGCAGAACTTGTCTATTAGTCAATGTACATCCCATGGACTCGGCAGAGGGACGGCGGGCCTGGGTAGAACACAAGGACCGTATAAACACACCCTAGCTGGCCAGCACAGAAACCCCCCAACCTTGTGTCAGTCTTCATTACAGAGTGAGTGGCACCGTCACATGGTACTAGAGCAGGTGCAGGATGGTCCAGCCTGGTTCTAAGGAACAGTTTGAGATGCCAGACATGTACTCACTTTCGACATTGCCAAGGGACACTGGCAAATGCCTTTGATGCCAGAATCCAGGGAGCAGAAAGCCTTTTCCATTCCCCTTGGCTTCCCTCAATTCAGGACAAGGAAATTCAGCCTCCAAAGGGCCGCAGTGACTTTTTGGAGGCCTATGGACTTGATACGACTGCATGGGCTACACGCAGCAGTGTGCTGCTACCATCCGCTGAACTGATTTGTGGGCTTGTATCATGTGGCAGCCTCCCCACCTGTAGTGCCGATAGCAGGGCAATGACCACAGAACAGACAGCCAGGCTGAGCAGTGGGAAGGTCCAGTTTAACCAGACAAGCTGAGCCCCTGTTAGCATCAAATCACTTCACTGCTGGGGGAGTCTCTCAAGGTAATTTCCAGGGTCTAATTTCTGCTCAGCCACCACTCACAGAGCTGAGGGAATTGTCTGGGAATCCCAACCCACCTAGGAGCCCTCAGGGACTGACCAGGAAAATCATAAAGGGGACGGTTCAGCGCAGACATTGTCAGTCCTATGAGATTCACACGCTGAGTCTCTTATCTCTGCCTCACTGCCGCTGGAAGGAAATTTCCTCTCTCTGCTGAGCAGGATTGTGGTGAGTTGCCGCTTTCTGCATTAACGTCAGTGCCTAGGACTTGGGAAAGGTTCCAGGGTAAAAACCGAGAATCATCTGGGCAGGAATTCACAAGGACAGTAACTTGAACTGCTTAGTTTTATTTTTTTCAGACACACCAGGGCTGTGTTTACACTGGCATGAATTTCTGGAAATGCTTAAAACAGAATAGTTTTCGTTATAAGTATTTCCGGAAAAAGAGCGTCTACATTGGCAGGCTGCTTTTCCGGAAAAGCCCTTTTTCCGGAAAAGCATCTGTGGCCAATGTAGACATGCTTTTCCGGAAAAGAGCCCCGATCGTCATTTTCGTGATCGCGGCTTTTTTCCGGAAAAGACTACGGGGCTGTCTACACTGGCCCTTTTCCGGAACAGTGTTCCAGAATAAGGACTTATGCTCAAGCGGGAGCAGCGTAGCTTTTCCGGAATAGCGGCTGATTTTATACAGTAGAGCATCGTTGCTTTTCCGGAAATTCAAGGGTCAGTGTAGACAGCTCGCAGCTTATTCCGGAAAAGCGGCTGATTTTCCAGAATAAGTGGCCCAATGTAGACACAGCTCAGGGGTTTACCAGGTCCAACTGGAACTACCAATGTATTAGAAATTGTTTAGACAAACATCTGTCTTGAAAATCAGTCCCTTGTTTCTACCTGCAGCCTACGTTTTCTCTCAGTAGCGTCCTCTTTTTGTTCACTATATTTTTTGAATTCCTCAACTTCACTGCATCTTAGATGGAGCAGCCAAAGCCTCAGCAGAGAGGGTCTGTGTTACCGGAGGTTCACAACAAACTTGAGTCACACACCGGCCACAATCTGCTCCCACATTCTGCCCTTAGTGCATCGCTCCAGATTGACATTGGTTTCCCATAGAGCAAAATTTGGAGCCCAGGTGTTTTAACTTCCCCAACCTTCACACAAAGTCTGAGAATGCCCCAGACATGGGGGTTTTAGTTTCTGGCTACCTCAGAGGAATGTGCTGTGTGTGGGACAGAGCGGGGGGAATCATGCAGTATCCAGATCCCAGTGGCATGGAATCCTGTAACCAGTGACTAGGGAAGGGGCAGTCAGCCTCATGCAAAGACCAAAGATGCACAACAAGGAAAGGTGGCGTCTCACACTATAATGTAACATGGACCTCACAGTAGCCAGTTGTCTCTGACACCTTCTGCCCTCCAGACCATTCCTGTTCCCACTAGCGACCCCACTACAGCCTCATAACCATGTGAGCAAATGGCGGCACTGAAAAGTCACTTCAGGAAAGTTTCCAATGGACATAATGACTATCTAGGAAGGAGCACTACAGAAGGGGCTGGGGTTATCCTAGACCACAAGCTAAATATGAGTCAAGAGTGTGACACCGTTGCAAAAGAAGCCAACAACCTTCTAGGATATATTTTTTAAAAAGTGTAGTAAGCAAGACTCTACTCTGCAGTAATTAGGGCTGGGTCACTGTGTGCAGTTTTGGCACCTCATTTCACCTATGAGGGAAGATTGAACGAACTGGGTTTGTTTAGTCTGGAAAATAACACTGAGGGGGACATGAAAACAGCTTTCAAATACCTACAGGGCTGCTGTCAGTAGGAGGAATACAATTATTCTTCTCAATCTCTCATGAAAGGACCAAAAAAAAAAAGAAATTGGCTTAATTTGCAGAAAGAGAGGTTTGGGTTGGATATTAGGAAAAAGTTCCTAGCTGTCGGCGATCCTAAGCAAAATTGTGTATCTTTCTCTTAAAAATTGCCAAGGATGGAAATTCTACAACCTCCCTAGACAAACAGAGAGCACGGATGGTCCAGATGGTGCGTGGTCCAGTCATGAGAGCAGGGAACAGAACTTGACTTCGAGAGTTTCCTTCCATTTCCATGGCTATGTCTACGCTACCACCCTAGTTTGAACTAGGGTGGTTAATGTAGGCATACGAACTTGCAAATGAAGTCCAGGATTTGAATTTCCTGGGCTTCATTTGCATGTTGCCGGGCACCGCCATTTTTAAATGTCCGCTAGTGCGGACTCCGTTCCCGCGGCTACACACGGCACAAACTAGGTAGTTCGGATTAGGCTTCCTTTTCCGAACTACTTGTACTCCTCGTGGAACAGGAAAGTCAAATCCCGGGCTTCATTTGCAAGTTCGTATGCCTACATTAACCACCCTAGTTCAAACTAGGGTGGTAGCGTAGACATAGCCATGGAAATGGAAGGAAACTCTCGAAGTCAAGTTCTGTTCCCTGCTCTCATGACTGGACCACGCACCATCTGGACCATCCGTGCTCTCTGTTTGTCTAGGGAGGTTGTAGAATTTCCATCCTTGGCAATTTTTAAGAGAAAGATAAACTCCCATCCCACTCCTCCTGGATCCCAGTGTTCCCCTCAGATTCTCTCAGGAAATGCCGAGGAATAGAGTTTCACAGAACTGAGCCTCTGTCCTGAGCTTGTACAGTTAAACGAGGGCCTTGTTTTGTACTTGGGGAGTTTGAACTTCTCCTTCCAATGGGCAAACTGACTTTGCAGTTCAACGGCTGCCATGTTACCCTTTTTCCTGGCTTGCTTACTTTCCCCAGAGGAGTTCCCTGGACTTGACTTTGACCCAAATATTCTCAAGCCCTCTATGAATCTTGCCACCTTATAACAATGGCTCACCCCCCTTTCTAGATTGGTAATAACAATACATTGTTAATAAATATAAAATAGTCACTGTGCTTTGTGCACTATACTGTGTAACCCCTGTGCTGGGCTTCTCTTCTTTCACAGGCACCTTGACCATTTCTAAGCCAAAAACGAGTTCACAGTATCATGGTGGCTTTCAACCGCACTCCCTCTCACCCTTCCATGTTCATCCTAATGGGCATCCCTGGCCTGGAAGATACCCACGTCTGGTTTTCCATCCCATTCGCTACTTGCTACGTTATCAACCTGTTGGGGAACTTCTCTGTTCTGTACGTTGTAGGCAAAGAGCAAGCCCTGCACAAGCCGATGTACCTGATGCTCTGCATGCTATCACTCTCAGGCATAATCTTGTCTACCACCATCATGCCAAAGGCCCTGTGTATATTTTGGTTCAGTTTGAAAGATATTACTGTGGGTGGCTGCCTCATCCAGGTTATCTTCCTTTCCATGGTTTCTATGACGCAGTCAGCCATCCTCGTGACAATGGCCTTTGATCGCTATGTGGCCATTTGTAACCCTCTGAGATACACCAGTATCCTCACCAATGCACGGACAGCTACACTAGGGCTAGTGAGTTTGATAAGAGGGGTTCTCTTAATGGTGCCCCTCCCTTTGCTCCTGAGCAGCTTGCCATTCTGTGCCAACCGTATCATCCCTCACACGTACTGTGAGCCTGTAGCTGTGGCAAAGATTTCCTGTGGGGACCTCACAGGCTCCAGAATATACGGCTTGGTGATTGCAGTTTTAGTCACTGGGATAGACTTGATGCTCATTGCACTGTCCTACGGTCTGATCCTCAAGGCCATTTTCAAAATCTCCTCCAAAAACACCCACCTCAAAGCTCTCCACACATGCACGGCCCATGTCTGCGTGATGCTGACATATTATACTCCCAGCCTCTTCACCATTATGACACACCGGTTTGGTCAGGGCATCTCTCTTCCTGTTCACATCATCTTGGCCAACCTCCATCTCCTCATCCCCCCCATGCTCAACCCCATCATTTATGGGATCAAAACCAAAGAGCTTCGTGACAAGATGAGCAAATACTTCTGCAGAATGTGAGCACACGGGGCTTCGGAACTCTACCTCCTCGCTCATCAAGAATACTCTGACCAGTTTGGCTGAAATTGTGGAAGTCCACAGTCTGAGCTGTTTTTCCTGTGATGGACTCCTGTCCAGTCTGCCATGCTTTATGAAATAGACGTATGGACATAAATAGACATAACTCAAAGATGCTTGTGACAAATTGCCTCATGTAAGCTATCGATCTTAATGTTATAAACCGGTAGGTCTGTATATCTTATTTTGGTGTATGTATCATTTTTGTGTGTGAAGTTAAACATATGGGCTGTGTCTACACTGGGCCACTTATTCCGGAAAAGTGGCTGCTTTTCTGGAATAACTTGCCAGCTGTCTACACTGGCCCCTTGAATTTCCGGAAAAGCACTGACGATCTACTGTAAGAAATCAGCTGCTTTTCCGGAAATACTATGCTGCTCCTGGTCGGGCAAAAGTCTTTTTTCTGGAAAACTGTTCTGGAAAAGGGCCAGTGTAGACAGCCCAGTAGTCTTTTCCACAAAAAAGCCCCGATCGCAAAAATGACGATCGAGGCTTTTTTGCAGAAAAGCACGTCTACATTGGCCACGGACGCTTTTCCGGAAAAAGTGCTTTTCCGGAAAAGCATCCTGCCAATGTAGACGCTCTTTTTCCGGAAATACTTATAACAGAAAACTGTTCCGTTTTAAGCATTTCCGGAAAATCATGCCAGTGTAGACGTAGCCATGGAGTATGGAACGCTTTATGGATTTAAATGTGCAAACGAAAGCTGTCAAGGCTGTTTCCAGTGCTGGGACACTTCAATTTCTAGGTAATTATCTGTAAACAGTTTTGTCTTTTAAGTATTAGCAGTGGTTGGTCCCAGGAAGTCATGTGACTTTCCCATCTTGTAGGGACTGACCAACTGTGATTTTCCATATAAGAGTGAAATGTGGAAACAGAATTCCTGCCCAAAGTGGTAATCTATAAAACAAAGGGAGGCTAGCAGGTTTTTGACTTTCGCTGGCATGGCTCTCCTGGGAGAATGAACCAAAGGCCCCAGAGGTAGGGAAATTCCCTGGCTTGGAGGCTTAGCTGGAATAAGAACAATTTTAGAGTGAGGTCTGTAATAAGTTTCTACTGAGGTTTTAGTGTTAGAATAAAGCTATGTTTAGACTGGCCAAATGTCGGAAAAGACTCTTCTGAAATAACAAGAGGAAAAAGATACGAAAGTTGCGATTCGCAATTTACGTATCTTTTTCTGAACCCTCTCCTCCCTCTCGCAATGCAGACATAGTTTTCTGTTATTTTAAATTTGTAACCTATTTTGCTCTGTGTACGGTAACGATTTCTGAGGCAGGCTATGATATTCTGTTAAGAACCCCTATCTCAAATCTCAAGTCTGGAACAGGTCTACAAACACATATGTCAAAGGCACAATTGCATGAATAGAAGGGTACCCTTTTCCCCTGCTTAGCCCATTGGAAGAAGGTCATCCTAGAGATAACTACCCAGGTAATCACATTCCAGGGAAAGGCAATTGTCACGTACCCTTACTGTCTTTTTCTTTAATTCCCTAGGCTTAACACCAATGGATCGCATCCTGATGCTAACTGATGCATTGCCACTTAACACATAATTGTCAATTGATGTTCACTTTGTTTAAGTACTTGTTAAACTACCTGTACTAGAGATAAGGTATTCTGTAAGCTATGTAACCATTTAGATTATGTCTCTCATTTCGCCTCATGGTTAGCACCTATCCGGGGGTCCAGGATCTTCTCCCCTCCCCTCTCGCTTCCCTCTGCCCATCAGCATCCTATATAATCAATTGTAGCCTATGTCTGGCAGCGTTCATCGAGCCTAACAAGCGACATGACGTTCCACCAGTGCAGTTTGTAATAAACCCTCCTGCTTGCTTCATTCACAGTGTCCAGACTCTGTTCCAACACTCTGCCTGTTTTTACTTGCACCCCTATTACATCCTACTGCTTGTCCTTAAATAAAATCACTTTTATTTACTATCAAATCCCGTATAAATAATTGTTACTGGTGTGTGTGCGGGGGGGTGGGGGGGGGGGAATGAGAGGGTACATCCTCCTTTCATTGTTC